GTTTATCTGGCGATCTAGCCTCCTCCCTGTAAAGGTGAAGGCAATTTACCAAGTACAAAAAGAGTCGGGGGAGGGAGAGGGAGCAGGCTGATCCCTCTCTCTGAAGTTGCTCTGAAAAGCGCTGTTTCATTTCTGCCCTCTCTCTTTCACATTCCTGCAAGATTACCAGCCAGAAATAGCCTACGGCCCCCCACCCCCCCAAAGGAAAAAAAAAGAAAGAGAAAAGGAAAAAAAAAAAAAAAGAAAAAAGGAATTGCTCAAGATTGTAATTACCAGTTAGGTTTTATTTTAAGACAGCAACGAAAAACTGTGAAGAGCGAAGTGTTACAGCAAGCACAACCTGGGTGGATTGGAAAGGAAACTCCTTCGGATTTCACGAACAGTGCGAGGGTGCTATTGCCAGATCTCTAGGTAGCTCTAGCTCGGCAGCCCTCGCAACCTGCAGCAGTATTATACGCAAATGTTGTGCTGGAAAAGGCGTTTTATGTCAGATTTCTGTTTCTTTCCAACCTTTGGTCTCAGCTGTGGCTTCACCTGAGGAAAGTGCACTTCGAAGCATGCCTAGCCCTTTCTCAATGTAACTATTATGTTCGTAGGTTCAGGCTTTTCCCCACTGATTTCTAGAATTGTTGGCTTATCTGGTTTCGCAGAGCTACAAACTGGTGGAAAAAAAAAAAAAGAGAAGAGAATAATAATATAAAATGCTAATAAAAAGACTCGACCAGGAGCAATAATTTAAAATGCACATTTTGCTTTGGATGCACTGTTGTTCATATAAAAGTTGTAAATATTTGTTTATTTAAACAGACTGAAAAGTGCAAAATGGAGATGAACAACATGCATTTCTTTTTTTAATGTACAAAACATTATATGCACTCGAAATGTTATAATTTCTAATATTTTTAAAAGTTTATATTTGAGTTGTACAGAATTAAGCATTAATCAAATATTTCATCCTTACTTAACATTATCGTTTCCTTAAGATATTATTACAAGATTTAAATTCTGTGCTAATAATGGAGAAAAGAACTTTTTTTTACTGTCTACCTCACTATAATGCAAGTATTTACAACTCTAAAGTTATCTGAGGTAAATTAATATTCAGAACATTTTTACAATACACCTTTACTGGACGATACTACAACTATTACTGTATTATTAAACGTTTTTTTTTCCAAAAAGTCAGCTTGCTTTTATATGTTCTATTATTTGGTTAAGTAATTCTAAGTTCTCAAGTAAACATTGGCTTCAGTTCTAAAATGCTGCAGAGTTGAGTTGGAGCAAGTGCCACTTTAAGACATACCTGAAGCCATTCCTCCTATCTGAAGACTTCTTGTGCTCTCACAAGTTTCGTCTTTGGTATATGCCGGTGGCATAAAGCTGCATTATGTTTCTATGCATTTTATGCGATAATTACTGTAAGTGGGAGAATGCGTTAAGGGGAAAAATTCAGGCAAACATTTGTAAATCTCATCTGTACTTGGGCACATTTATATACACTGTATGATGATGATGAGCAAAAGACAATGAATGTTTTATAAATTATATTTATTTTGATACAATGGGTAATATATTTATTAAATATTTCCTGGCTATCTCTTAGATAATGAAGAACTATTCAATCAGCAGCTGTTTTAGTACGAGAAGGATTTCCCTCCTCTCTCGCAACACTGCGTGTGGAGAAGGTGGTGCAGGCAGCGTCGGGGCTGTGAGCCCCACTCTCGGGAAAAAAAAAAGCCTCACCTTATATGCAGAAGGGCTGAAAGAGCTGCTCACCTTGTGGAATGTGTTTGAAAACAAGGTTCTGTTCATGGAAAGTGGTTTTTTTTAACCAAATCACAAGATATGATCGCACACGTTTTTCTCTGGCCAACTTTCACTCCCTCGGACTGGTGCTTCAACAAAGGATTGCAGAATCGGGCCCGAGTGTTTGAATAGCAGCGGCTGAGAGACCTGTGGAAGAGTCCAGCCTTAGAGTTGGTACAACTGCACGAGGAATATTTCTTTTTAGTACTTTTAGTACTTCAGTACTTTTAGTGAAACACTTTTTAGCATTTCAAGTTCATGACTAATAGTAGATTTGGAAATCGCAGATTTGAAAAGAGCTTTAATTTTAAAGCTGAGTTCACTGTTTGCAGCTCTCACCGGTGTGAACTTTGGTTGCTGCTCCGACCACACAGGTTCAGTCTTCTGCCATGGATCAAGCTCCCGCTCTCTTTATGAAGGAAAGCAGTGGGAAAATGATGCCCAACAGGCTGGAATATGCTCTCTGAGGAAAGATAATCAAGATACGTAAGATGCCGTCAGCTGGAAATGAACGTGATGTGAAAATCTGAAATTTTACAAAATTCACAGATAGTGAAGGCTGAATGAATCATCTCTTTATTTTGCTGTCTAGTGAGCCAGTGAATTACCACGTGTACAGACAACGCTTCAGCTAAAAGCATACACTGAGATTTTCAATGCAATTTCCTTTCCATGTAAAAACCAGTATCGCTTCTATTGCAAGCCCGTACATTGCACGCTTGATAGCAAGCAGTATTGTCACTGAGCTTCTCCACCTCAGACATGGCTTTGGGGAGCTTCATCAGACAAAGTTCAACTGTGGGAGGCCTAAGAAATCTCTCCTCAAAGGAAGTTCTTAAAAAGGCAACAGAGAAGATTTTGCTGTCTTGGATGTACAGTGTAGAGCAGTTTGTACCTTCTCCTACATTAGCTGAATTTTTGGTGACATCTTTAATGGCCAGAAAAGGATTGAAAGCCCTTTGTCCCAAATGTCTGGTCTGTGCTTGTTAACCTCCAAGGGAATTGAGAGGACCTGAAAAAAGGCAAATAGTCAGAATCTGCAGTATCTGCTTTGGAGACAAACTTTTTGGATTTTACTTACTGAAAGAGAGGAAACACTGGCCTTTCTGAGCATGTGCTCTGGATGCTATAGCTAATATAACATTAACTGAACCCATTTTGGCAAGTCTGCTCTTCCTAAAGATGGGATCTCTGCTCATTTCCTTTTTTAGGTCTGCAATATTCTTTTGCACAAAACTGAGAAGGAGCAGTACGGTGCTGAGAAGGAGAAGTGAAAAGATACAGCAAAGCTGATCAATGGTCTTTCCTTCCTTGCACCTCCCTTCCTCTCTCCCACCCTCCCCCCAAGAGCTAACCAGTAAACTGAACAAAAAATACCAGTAATTATTTTTTCAGCTTTTACCACAAATACTGCAAGCCTTTGTTACAGAGAAATCCAAATATGGAAATTCAGTGGATGCGCAGCTCAGATCTCTTTGTCCTGCCAAAGTAATATGAATTTTCTTTTCCATTTCTCAACTCCCCATGCTCAAAATCATATTTAAAAAGGGGAAATGATTTCTTTTATTATGTTGCTGGCCAGAAGAGGGAGCAGAATCTGTGAAGTAGTGGGAATAGACACCAGCGGACAGAAGACAGCTGAAGTTGATCTGGCTGATGGTGTGATATGTATCAGCAGACGTTACATGATTCATCCATTGCACTTGGCTGTGTTGCTCAAACACAAGAAAACCATTGGCTCATCTTTGAAGTATAGATATGCATCAGAATAATTAAATTCTGAGTATTCAAATGAAAAAAATAGCATGGGGCTTAAGCCCTTACTTTGTAAGTACTGCTCCTCCTTTTTGGACCACAGACTCCCTCTTACAATGACTTATGGGAGGGGTGTATTTTTGCAAATGGTTTTTGTGGGAAAATGCTGAAAGCCCCCCATGAACAGTAGATCTGCCCCCCATGAACAATAGACCCAGTCTTCCTCTTCACTATCTCCACGTAGATGAGAGGTCAGTCTGTTTACTGAAATGTATAAAATGCGCATGTTTATTTTTTACACCTATATGTTTAACCTCAAACCTTGGCTGAGGGACAGAGTTGATCACATTGTCTGAAACATCTTCCTTCATAACCTCTTAATCTTTGCTTCAGAAGCACCTCTGAAGCTTTGAGGAAGTCGAGTGACTGAACTTCACCCTTGTCGATCATTCAGAGGCTGAGCAGCAGGACAGCAGATTTCAATAGCGTGTAATTTGTTCTCTCACATAGCGGCCATGTGCTGTAAAGGAGTATACTCCCCTAGAGCAGGGTCCTCTTGTCAGCGTCCAGCTATATTATACGATTAGATTTCCAAATATTTGTTCTTGTTTCTTTGCGGTGTCAGACCCATTGTAAACTGAGGATGTTCCAGCTGTTCATAATTGTGAGGGAAGACAGTCAACATATTATCCCTGCTACGCTCATCATCTGCCTATTTCTTGATGACTGCAGCCTTGAAACGTACCACTGTCTTAGTTAATATACATTACTATTTAGCGTATTGTACTGCTGGGAATGAGAAAGGGCTCTCCCAAGGTTGTAACCGGAGCTAATTTCGCATGGCTTCAGCCTGGTGCAGCGTGTGGGACCCTATATTTGCCCAGGTACTAGCATTTTGACAAAACTAGGGTTCATTTAAACTATGTCGGCCGTCAACCCTCTCTCTGGAACTGAGAAGTCTGGAATCGGACTGGGGACTTCTATCCCATAAGACCACTTTCCTACTAACAACTTTCTGTGCCATTTTTTAGGAAGACTCTTAGGAGAATTTCCATCCTATGGAGCATTTTTTAATCAGTGAAAAAACCATCATTTTTCAGAACGTGAGAATTTTATTACTAGAGAAGAACAAGTGAGAAGACTCCTAGGGCACCAGTTTTTCAACTGGGTGGGCAGGAAAGACCTCAGGTGAATAAAAAACCTGGAGGTCTGGTTGACAACTCATTTCTAGAGTGGAAGTGGGAAATTGCAGGAGGGCCATAGAAGAACAAAAGGGATAACGTAAGGGCAAACTGCCAAACATCTGAGATGTCTTTTCACTAATGCTAAGAGTATGGAGAATAAACAGGAAGAACTAGAAGTCTTGGGACACAACAAAGGCTACAGTTTAATCAGCATCACACAGGCTCAGTGGAATACATTGCAGCACTTCGATATTAGCAGAGAGAGTATAATTTGTGTAGGAAGGACAGGCAGGAAAAAAGGGAAGAGTATTATCTGATATATTAGGAATGCGTAGAAGGCCAGAAAGAGGGGAGAGACAGAGCTGTCGGAGATAAAATAGAGAGGAACTGTAAAGCTCTCCTAATGATTACTTAATGAGGAGGAGAACGTCGATGTCACATTTTTTGAGCAACTACTGGGAGTGTCCTGAGGATATGAGGTAGTGGTAATAGAGGACTTTATCTAACCAGATATCTGCTGTAAGACAAAAAACAACCCACAACCCAACAGCAGAGCACAGACAGTTCCACAAGTTTTTGGAATGTGTTGGGACAACTTTTTGTTTCAAAGAGTGGAGGCAGTTACAGGAGACATGGCCAGATAAGCTATGATAGATACGACTAATAAAGAGAAACTCACGAGAAGACAATTGGAGCTCACGTGTCTGTGGAAAAGGAGGATTGAGAGGAGGAGAACAAGACCAAATGACTCCTGTAAGGCAGATTTCCTCACGTTGGGGAATTGATAGGGAAGGTTCTGCAGGGAGGAGCCAAAAGGAGAAAGGAGCTTAAGGAAACAGGCAGTTTGGAAAAAGTCCTTATTTAAAGATCCCGTAGGAAGCTATCCTGCTGGCAAGGAGGACAGTGTTGGAAGAAATCAGGGGGGCCGGGTCAGGAGCCACTTGGTTATCTGACAACAAAAACCCATCATATAAAAAATGAGCAAAGACAGTGTACTAGGAAAAGTAAAAAAGAAGGGCTGAAGTATAAAGAATGCAAAAGGGAGCAGAAAAAGAAATGAGAAGAAAAGAAGGAAAAGGGCTATCATTTCATGGATAGCGATCATTTCAGGGATGGCGAACAAAGGACAAACGACAGAGCGGGCTGAAGTGTGAAACACCACCTTTGCAAGTAGGGGACACCTGATACCAGAGGCTGAACACACTTAGAGCTAGCAAGGGAATTGAAACACAGGCCACAGAAAAGAAGTGAAAGAACATTTGAATAAAGTGTATGTACTCAGAGCAGGAAGTCCTGGGGACATTTGCTCTGGTATAATTAAAGAACTAACCACAGTCATTTCTGAAATATTAACAAGTGTATTTAAGAACACGCAGAAGAATTAAGAGGTACCAAGAATTACAGATCAGCCAACCTGTCTCAGATATCTCAAACACTTTGAATAAAACTACAAAAAATGCAAGTGCTTCATATAATAGCAACTGCAGAATGATAACATGATAAAAACATCCGACGTGAATTTATCCAGATAAATAATCATATCAAACTAGTCTAATGTTCTTCTTTGATAAGAGTGAAATGAAACTTAAGCACTTAAGAATACGGGTTTCCAAATGATCTTGCTACATTAAAGGGGCAGTTTGACAGAAGTACAGCAAAATATAATAGCAACAAGTGCAAAATATTACACTTAAGAAAGGATAACCTCAAACATAAGATGCAAAATCTGGCTAGATAATGGCTCTGCAAGAAGAATCAGGGCTTTATAGTTGAATGAATTCTGAATATGAGGTAATAAATGATGCTGTTGCCCAGGATATTCCAGGATATAATAACTGGGATGTTAGATGTGGGAAATGCTCCATGGTGCTTTGGACTGATGAGAGCTCAGGTAAAGCTTTGTGTCCGGTTTTAGGGATCACACTCTTGCAGATAATTTTCTGATGTCTTCTGAACCATCGGTGGTCTGGTGACCACAGACTGACTAACAGGGCCTTGCACCTAAATGTATCTGGGCATGACAGATACATATGTAAGACTGCGCAGCTCGTGGTCCACAGACCAGACGTTCTTTGGTTTCTTTCTCTCTATGCTCTGAGAAATATTTTCAAATATGTCTACCAGGATAAGCCTTGCTCGGTCCCTCACCATCAGAAGAGGAAGGAGTGGAGCTCCCAGCGGCTCAGCGCACGGAGCATTCTCCACAGTGCCACAGCGCCTGAGGTCTTTTCATCATAAACTGCCTGAGACCAAGGAGGATTGGATGCCATGGTACTCCTAAAAACTCTGTTATGCACTCATCTGCAATTAACTCCCTTGAGAAACACAGGCCTGAATTTTGCTCTTAAAATGGGAAAAAGGGGATTTATTGTGATGCCTATTGTGGCAGTGAAACTGGACAGTACCCCTGCTGGGATGTCATTAGTACTGAGCAGAGTGGAATAAATGTCTCCCATAACTTTATATAAGGCATTCTGTTTAATACAGCCAGCTGAATGCTTCAGAATGAGAGAGAGACTTTGTTCGCTCCCGCTCCGGTGGAGTCCTGCGCTGGGCAAGAGTCTCTTGTTGCCATCATAAACCAGACAATGGCTCATGGCATGACAACAATGTGCTGTTTTGATGGGCTTCTGTGAATTCACCAGACATGATCTGCTGTTGATGCTTATGCTGTCCAAAAAAGTCCCAGACCTCAATCTGCCTAAAACCAGTTATCTCCACTTTCCAGCAGATATTCTGCACCCAGCACTGTTATGCCCTGCAGCTGGCTCCCAAATACTTTTCACAGACTGGGTTTTATGTCTTCAAGAGTTTTAATTTGGCACTGCTGTTCTGTTTGTCATTTACTATTCATATTGGTTCAGATGAAGATCTCTGGAGAGGAGTTTTGGATCTTATTGTGATCAGCCAGATAAAAGCAACAGAAAGCTCTGGTCCGTCTTGAAACAGAAATCCTTCAGACCTGAGAGGAAGCGGTTCTTGGATGTGTCTGCAAGCCCTCGGCACAGTCATGAACTGAATACAGCGTACCTGCTCATCAGTCCCTTCACATACGTCTTTCACTAGCGAAGAAGATCAGCATCCAGTATGCCGCAGGCTCCCAAATGTTAGTTGCTTTGTTCTGTTATTTTAGAGTGAAATAAATGACTACCATCATCCAGAACTGGAATTCTGTAAAACATACTTCTGTCCCTTTTTGTCAATACCTAACATCAAGCCCTGTGAGCAGACTCTTTTCATTAACAGTGCTGAAGTTGTGCTGACCCTTCTCTATCATTCAGTTGCTGTTTCTTTTTGTTCTTTTAGACTAGAGTCTAAAAACCTATTTAACCTGG